GTTCCTTGCTCATCCATGCAGGTCTCCTGCCCGCTTTGCTGGACTTCTTCCTCAGAGGAATGCACTGCTCTTGAGCCTGGAGGAGGTGATGCTTGAATATTAACCAGCTTTCTTGGACCCCTCTTCCTTCTAGGGCCCTACCCCATGAGATTCCTCCAAGTAGGTCGCTGAAGAGGCCAAGGTTAGAAGCAGTGTAAGCAGCTGCCAGTGAGTACACTTGTCTGACCAATCACTGCCTGATCACAGCAGTCTATCCTCTCTTCTTATTCAACTCTTTCTTAACTCTCTTTCTGCATTTTCTCATTCTCTGTTCTGTGTGTAAGTGCTGTAAGGACTAGGTGCTGGCAACTAGAGAGACAAGAGTGAGTGAATTTGAATTGGCAGATGGAGTCAGACCTTAGGTGAAGGGACCCACGTTCTAGCATCAGTAGTGGCTGGGAGCATAGGGTTAAGGGGCCATGTGTCAGGAGTGGCAGCTACTGGGGGGACTGGCATGAGTGAATTTGGAGCCAGCAACTGGAGTCAGACCTTGGGCAATAGTGACCCCCGTGCCTGTGGTGTCAGCAACTGGAGTGAGTGGGAGTCTCAGTGCCAGCAGCTGGAGCAAAAGAGGGGCTCAGCATCTGCTACTGGAGTAGGACCAGGAGCCACGGTGTGTCCTGTGTACCAGGTACTGGGGGGTGCTGGAGTGAGCGGACTGAGGGTCTCTGCATCAGTGGCTAGAGCTGGTTCATGGGTCACAGCACATGTGCACCTGGGCACCAGCTGCTGGGGGAGGCATCTATGAGTGTGGGGGTGCTTGCGAGATGAATGTGTGCATGCATCTGTTTGCTAGTGAACATCAAGCTGGACTAGCTGGTGAGTAGGACCCCCGTACAGGGGACAAGGGGACTCAGGATCTGGGCAGGGATATCAGACAGACAGAGAGGCCATGCTGATATTTGAGGGATCTGTGAATGTGTGCGTGTTTGTGAACTAGACGGTGAGCGCATGAGGGCCTTCACGAGTGAAACGTCAGTCTTTACTAGCTGGAGAGGAGGAAGGGGACTCAGCTTTCTGTACTTACATTTTATGTGAGTTCTGGTAGTGTTGTGTGTGGGTGGTGTTAAAGGCAGCAGCTGGTCTGTGGCAGTCTGTACAAGTGGGTGTGTCAGCGTCCTCTGTGCGTGTCTTTAGGACACACGTCTTGCCTCGCTGCTGGCTGAACCTGCAAACAGGAGAGCAGCAGCCGTGCCCGCTGAGGTGGCACGAGGAGACCTCCAGGTCCCTGCGCGCACCAAGCTGGGCTCCAGCGGCTGCGCAGGAGGAACCTCGGGGTCCCGGAGCCCACCTCTCTAACATCCCTTCGCAAAAAGCATACAAAAAGCGTACCAGTTACAGTGGGTAGTCTAATAACATCCCAGAAGAAACAGCGCTACGCTCTGAACACAGGCCCTGCGCCCACCAGCGTCCCCTCCTAGGGAAGGAAAGCCAACGTTTGGCAGGCGAGCGCCGGCGGGAGACCAAGCCCAAACAAAGAGACTGTTTTCTGAACCAGTATGTTGATAGGGGGGATCAAAAAAAAAACCACCCTTCCTTGACCTCCCAG